TCATAATCATTCCCTTTACTTTGGCCTCTTCCTTCCATTAGGATCTTCAGTGGCACTTTCAAGAGCCAGTCATAAGAATCATAGAAATTCCTTGCCAGGGAGATCTCCTATGCTTCTAACCTTATAAAAACAGGGAGGGGTTAGAAAGAGAAAGGAGAGTAGAAGTGGAAAAGACCTTTTTACCTGGCCTGGACAACTTTGCTTATGCAGTGACCTTTCCCCAGGATATGCAGACATTGTCTCTTGGCATTTTTTATTTTATTATTTTGTATTTTCTTGGCAGCTGGCTGGTACGGAGACCTGAACCTGTGACCTTGGTGTTATAAGGTTGTGCTCTAACCTGCTGAGCAGCCAGCCCCAAACATTATCTCTTGTTGGCTCTTCTCAGAAAGGCATGAGGGAGAGAGATCTCCATATAGTATGTTTGATCTGTATCCCATGTTCCTGTCCCTTTTCCACTCTTTACTTTCCCTTTCCTGTAGCCATGAGTCCTCTTTATATTCTGGAGCCTTCAGTGACTTCTGTAGCTGGTGGGCCCATACATGGAGAATTTTCCTGCTTCCAGCTGCCTTTGTCTTTCACCTCATTTCTCCTCTCACCCAATCCCAGCAGAGGCTTCAGTCATCAGCAGCCCAGACGGAGGGGTGAATAATTCATTTACCATCACCGTACAGTGGTCCTTTATCTGAATATAACTCCCACCTTGCTCTCATGTTAGCCATTAACCAGGTTGAGTTTATGGTCTGTGAACATTTATTTCCTGTGAAAATAACATCTAGGTATTTTATTAAAGTGATGTGATTAAGATTATTGAAAGCTCTCATTACCTGCTCAAGTAAGAGATTAAGTCTGGCAAAAGTAATCAGATGTGTTTCCGGTTGGAAGCCTCTTTAGTGTTTCGGGCAAGTAGTAATTCCCAGAAAACAGTGAAATCTGTTTCTCCTTCTCACAAGACCAAGCAGTTAAAGCCGACATTACCATGCACACGAGACGTAGCATAAGGTATCACAGAGGCTATTGATCCACCTTCTATTGGCTTTATAATTTTCCTAACTCTTCATTCCAAGGGCTCTGTATGGGAATTTCTTATCTGGTGGTGATATGACCAAATAGAGAATATACTGATAACGAATGGTGGCTTCTCATGGTTTCTCCCATGCCCAA